TTGTTTTTTTTTTTATTTCAGAATGTTATGAAGGTACACACATTTTGGTTACACTTTATGTCTTTGCTTCACCCAAGCGAGGGTTAAAGGCATGCCCGTCCCCCCTACAATTTCCTTTTCCGTTTTTAAAAAATCCAATCCAATCACACATGTAGATGTGTCAGCTGTGATTTGCTTTGTCCGTTTTAATGATTTTAGAACTATTTTTGGAATAAATATAATTTAATGATAATGGTAATGTCTCCCACCACCCATGCCTGGCTGTTGTACAGATACTAGTAAAAAGACAAAATTTTACTCACCTAAATTCTACCATTATTCAACCAGCTTCAGACTATCAATGAGTTGAGAAATTGACTCTTTAATTAATCTTCTTCTAAAAGTGTGTCTCATAAGCAAAAGCTCTTCCCTTTCCCAACACCAGTTGTTCTGCAACTCCAGATAGGTCCTTATAGTATCAATTATCAGAGCTGGAAAAAGAAGCTTCCTGAAGTTAACAGGTTTTCTCCTGGATGGATAAAAGATCATATCGTGAAATCAAGAATCGTGCATTCAAACATCATTAACAGTTTGGCAGAAGAATTATAAATGTTAAAAAGCATCTTCAGAACCAAACCAAGCTGGAAGAAAAAGATATTTGCCATGACACTACGTAGTTGAAAACAGTACCCTGATTTTAAACTTTGGTGAGATTATTTTCTGTGATGTCCTGACTGAAAGAGTGATCTAAAAACCAACAACAAGTAATTATTCATTCAAAAACAAATTTTTTTATGTGTCAGCACAAAACTCTTCAGGATTATAATTATATGGGAATCCTTTCCTTTCCAAGTCTAACAGGCATAGCACCTCCAGTACCTAGAGCCCGTAGTACACAGTGCACATGGTGCTTTGGAAAGAGGACCAGTGCTAGGATGGGGCTTGTCAAGTGGAGTAAGGATTAGTTAGTCTTCAGGCCTATAAAGAAATGTGCTCATTAGTTTTCATGTATTTTTTTTTTAATTTATTTATCAACCAGAACTTCTTCTTCCAAAATGACAGTGCCCAATGCCCTGCATATGGCAGATCTTATTCATTTGGGCCAGGGTCAGCATACTTAATCAGGTCGAGGTGATAAATGAATCTAAAGTTTTTTGTTACAAATGACCAACATAGATTTTTGCTTAAGTTTTGTAAAAAACCTGAAAATTCTCAAAGATTTTTTTTCTAGCAGAGGATAGGTCAAGGAGTAGGGCTAGTCTCAGGCAGGACAGGGCTAAAGGATATGCCTGCATGAAACTATACTAAAATAGAATCTAAATCTCCTGAAGGAGTGAAATCTATCCCTTACTGCAGTGGTTCTCAACCAGGGAGAATTTTGCTTTCCAGGGGATATTTGGCAATGTCTGAAGATATTTTTGGTTGTCACAGCACAGGGTCAGGGATGCTATTGGAATCTCACAGGTAGATGCTAGGGATACTGCTGAATGTCCTGCTGTGCATACAGCAGCCCACAACTAAGAATTATCTGGCTCCAAATATTAAGTGTCAAGGTTGAGAAACCCTATCTTCCTGAGGTCTAAGAAAGAAAACCAATTTTTGAATTTGAAGATTATGTAAAATCAGAGGCATTATGAGAGGAATGGTTTGGCCATATTTTTGGAACTTCATTTTGCTATGGTAAAACTCTGTTTTGGGCTTGAAGCTAGAAGCTAGAAGCCTGGCAGAGTATGTGTGTAATGATGCCCAAGCAAGCATGTTCATTGCTGCATTATTTGTAATAGGAAAAAAAGGAATAACTCAAACGTCAATCCACAGAATTTCCTTGCATAAATTATATTGCATATATATCTACATAAGGAATATTGTGCCATTAAAAATAAGCTGCATGTATCTATGTGTATTAGCATGCAAAAATGTCTATTAGATATTGAATAAAAGATGAATTATTTTAAAGAAGTGTGAGTAATGTGATCCTATTTTATTTAAAAATGCACATTTATAATGCTCATGTAAGAAGTTAAAAGAGAAAGTAGTTTTGAAGTGGCATAGATTGACTAGAATTACCACAATTATGTCTTATTTTTAGTGTAGAGCTTATTTACTTAGATTTATCATAAATAATGCCAAATGGGTATCAATTACATAATAGAAGAAAGAGACACTTCCCACAAAACAAATTCAAGCCCTTAAAATAATTTATATATTTTTGAGAATTTGAACTCACAATTTATTTAATCATTCCTTCACATACTTATTCACTTATTTATTCTTTAATCAAATATTTAATCTCTTAGGAGTCATGCACTAGACTATGCTCTGAGAATACAACAGCATACAGAAGAAACAGAATATCTGTCTTTATGGAGTTTATTGATGTGTGTGATGTGTGTTTTAGGATTTTGGTGATCTTAGATTTTCTTGCAATAAACCACAGTGTCCTGTTGTCATGCACTGATGTCTCTGAATTTTAAGTCCTAAGGAGCTATTCTAAGGTTTTGCCTGAAGAGATCAAAAGCTTTTTTGTTGTTGTTGTTGCTGAAAACAAGCTGGTAGTGAATGAATGGACTTGTGGAGCAGGTGCTGTTTACAAAGACTGTTGCTATTAGAAACTGCCTCTTTGACTTGCCTTTGCTTCATTAG